TTGCTCTAAGCATAACGCTCATGTTATTCTAACTTTCCAGTTGTTACTAGAATCTTATTAGAATTAAGATTGAAGGTTAAGCTGTTCAACAGGTCCAAGTATCTTCTATTACTTTTGTAGACCTCTACATAGGATTCTCAGATTATGAATACTGTTTGGTTTCCTGAATTATTCTCAAATATCTTGTAATATTAATGGAGCATGCAAGACTTTTTAATCTGTTTTATCTATCTTTCCAATTGCAGGTGTACTGTTTCCTTCATCTTTACAAGTGTTGAAACTTAGAAGTAATCAATTATCGTCGACCCTAAAAGGTGAAATATTACAATTCATTCATTATCTTTCTCATCTTTACAAATCGGTCACAGTTTGGTCATCCTCTCAACAGAGGTTCTCCATAAATGTATTGTAAGAACAACTTTTATTTTGAATAATTTCAGGCTACTCAAAAATCTGCGCATTAAAGAATCTCCAAGAATTGGATTTAAGATTTAATGCTTTGAAAAATCTTCCTTATTGTCTGGTTAACCTAACGGGTCTTCAGATTCTTGATCTATTGTACAACCAATTGAACGGAAATTTGTCTTCTTTTGTGTGTGGTCTACCATCAACGCTCGAGTCTTTGCCACTTCTCCACAATAACTTCAACGGTTCGTTCCGGTTTAGTTCACTGGTCAATAACACAAGACTCGCAGTATTCACATTGTCATCAGAAGTTGGTAAGATCCAAGCTCAGGCTGAGAGCTCTTGGGTTCCACTGTTTCAGCTGAAGATGCTTAAGTTACAGAATGTCATTCTTGACGGCCCAATTCCTGATTTTCTTATTTATCAGCGTGACTTATGGTTCATTGATATTTCTTATGGCCAGTTGACAGGAGCATTTCCGACTTGGCTTGTGCAGAATAACACAGGGCTGCAGATTGTTTTCTTGAATAACAATTCGTTAACAGAGTTTCGGCTACCTAGGCTTGCAAATATCTCGAGTAATAGGATACAAGATTCAGTTCAAGAAGACATAGGGATTGTCTTTCCAAAGATGAGGTATATGGACTTTTCTTCAAATCATTTTTATGGAACCATTCCATCTTCAATGGGAGAGATGAAAAGTCTACGATTCTTGGACATGTCTTCTAACAGTCTCTATGGGCAGCTACGTAAAGCCTTTTTAAGTAGTTGTTACTCGTTGGCGTTTCTGAAGCTCTCCAACAACCAATTCCAGGGGAGAATATTTCCGGAGTATGCAAATCTTACTGGTTTAGATTGGTTATTTCTTGATGGTAACAATTTCAGTGAGAGTCTCGGAAGAGGATTGTTGAACTCAAAGCATCTAACACTTCTAGACCTTTCAGATAACAATATATCCGGGACGCTTCCATTTTGGATTGGTAGAATGTCAATCCTTCAATATCTATACATGAGGGGAAATCAGTTGAATGGTCGTTTCCCTCTTCAGCTGCAGAACTTATCGCAGCTTAATGTTATAGACATCTCACATAATAGCTTCTCTGGTTCAATACCAAGGAATCTTGATTTTCCATTTCTGACAGAGTTAAGACTTCAGAGCAATGAGTTTATGGGATCAATTCCAGACAGATTATTCGAGGCTGAGGAATTAGAGGTGCTTGATTTGCGGAACAACAAATTTTCTGGAATGATTCTGAGCACTAATGACAAGAGCTCTAGTCTACTTGTCTTTCTTTTGGGGAATAACAGCTTTCAAAGTTATATCCCTAAGAAAATATGCGAGGCGAGTCAAGTTAGTCTCTTGGACTTATCTCACAACAAATTCAAAGGTGATATACCATCATGTTTGGGGAACATGTCTTTTGGCGCAGAAAGAGCCAACCGTACTGGATCATTCACTTCACGTTTCAATTCAATTGAAATTCCATCCCTGCCAAATTGGAGTTATACATCAGCTTTTGACCTCGATGATGGTGTCAACAATCGTTTCCAAGTTAAACAAGCAACCATCGTAGATTTTTTAACGAAAAACAGATATGAAGCATATCAAGGTGATATTATTGGCGACATGCATGGTCTGGATTTGTCAAGCAACGAATTATCGGGTGAGATTCCAATTGAGATTGGAAACCTTGAGAGCATCAGATCTTTGAATTTTTCAAGCAACCGCCTCACAGGCTCCATACCAGAGGATAGCATTTCAAAGCTCAAGGACTTAGAGAGTCTTGATCTGTCCAGCAATAAGCTCGATGGAAACATCCCTCCTCAGCTAGCTGGCCTCAACAGTTTAGGATACTTCAACGTCTCATTCAACAATTTGTCAGGTGAAATCCCTCTCAATGGCCATCTTCTAACTTTTGACGAAAAGAGTTACTTAGGCAATGCTCATCTATGTGGCCCTCCTACCAATAAAAGTTGCAACCCAGTGCCAGAGCCAAAGCAGGCCAAAGAGGAAGAAGAAGAGAGCGATGGTGTGATAGACATGGTATGGTTTTACTGGACTTGTGGTGCAGTTTACATCTCCACACTATTGGCTTTATCTGTGTTTCTCTGCATAGACTCACGCTGGTCCAGAGAATGGTTTTATCGGGTCGATCTCTTGGTTCATCATCTTCATCGTTTCAAGGGTCGTCTGTTCTCCAACTAATTCAGCATATCAACCAAGGTACACTATACCATACACTACTTTGTGTTCAAAAGTTGTCATGTCTGGTGTTTTTTTTTGTTTGTTAAGTCTGGTGTTATTTTTGTTGTATTATATTTGAATTAAGGATAATCATAATATCCCATATGAATATATGATTGTCGTGTATGTCGATCCAGACTGTTAAAATCTGCTCAAAATAATATTAATGGTATTGAACAATTTATACAAATTTTTATCTCGCATGTTACAGTTACAGAGACACGCCAGTATACTGAATCATTCCTGTGTATTTAAATTAATTTTACTTTTGGTATGAAAGATTTGAACAAGATTACTACGAAAAAATAATCCAGAATTAAAAACTAAATAAATGGGGTGTTTCCGTTTTCACCTCGTGAGCACAAAACTCGCAACGTATTAGAGA